GAAGCAATGGGTCATACCTAGTAAAGGGAAATCTAACTCCCTTGAAGGTATGATAGGTCTCTCTGTAAAGCAGATTGCCAGTGTCTGTTGGGCAAATTGCTACTGGAGATGTAGCAGATGTTGAGGAAGGAAATGTTGCTGAGGAAGAACATGGGAGTGTGGAAATGGGGGTCAGACACAATCACCACAATGAGCCCATTTTCCATTAGGGTCATAATATAGACAGACAACAGCAGCCTGAAGAAGGGGACCTGTGCCATAGGTGACATGAGAGTTCAAGGAGTGCTCTGTCACCAGCAGATCATTGTATCCTGCCATTATCTTACCATTGGCTCACCTACTGGAAACAGAAACCCACGAAATCTCCCCAGAAGCATGCTCTACATTTGTTGATGTCTGACAGTTTATGTATTTATTTGGTGATGTTCAAAAGGAGGTAGCAGAAGTCATGGGGTTTGTGGGGCCTGTGGACCTCTTTGCTACTGTGCATTGCAACTGGAGCACAGCTCTTTGTAACACCTGCTTATAATTGTGAGGAGATGTATTAGAGCAAGACACAACCATGATGGGAATGTCTGGGCGTGCACAGACAGCAGTCACTCTGATGACTTGAATCTGCTAGTTAGTCTTGAATGGTAATGTGGAGAGTGTAGCCCAGATTCCTCTGGCCGCACTTCCTACATCCATTGTAATATCTACTGACATGCAATTCAGCACCTGCATTGTAATAGGTGGCATTCTTCTACCTGGAGTCTAAACTGAATCAAAAATGGAAACTTCACTAAAGAATTCTGATATTTCTTTGTTATTTTGGAACTACAGGACTCCACATGGGCCTCTTTTCAATAAAAATTAAATTCTCACAAACTTTTCAATTATGTGTATGGACAATTTATGCTTGTAGAAGTTTGATGTCCAAACCATGTCTTCTATCCCTATTTCTGCAAAGGAGGAAAGAAAGTTTTGACAAACTAAACTTGTCACCGCCCTTTTCAATAAGAGAGAGATTGATAACATTACTGAAATATTATTTCTGTTGTGAAATATCTGACAATTTTGCATATTTTAAAGGACATTTTGAATGAGAAATCTTTACATTGAGTGGTTCTGATCATGTCTGAGTAAAGCAGTTGGGTCTAGTCAGCAGCGGTGAAAGGGGCTCCTTTGAGAAAGGCAAGCAGTGAGTAAGCCTGCACAGGCTGTAGCTGGGGGAAGCCATCAGGATAACATGGAAGAGAGCCTAGAGGAAGAGTTGTTTATCTGAACGGTTTATGCTTGTGGATAATTTGGGATGAAGAAGCCACGAGGCATCAAGGGCAGAAAGGAGGTTGTTGCAGGCCCTCTCAAGAAGTGCACAGTCTGTTTGAGATAATTGAGTGTATCACATCTTGGGAGGTTAAGGGAGGGGCAAGGAGCTCCAGAGGTTAATGGCCGTCTCCCAAATTAATAAGCAAGAACAAAGGTATGGCAGGACAGGAAGGGAGGAGCTGAGGGGAAGAGTGGGAGAACAATGCATGTGGTGAGGGCTAAGTGGGACCTCAAGTCCCCGCCCGGCTTACTTATCAGTAAGCCGGGGTGCTGAGTGGGACCTCAAGTCCCTGCCCGGAGCACCAGTGATGCAGCAAAGGCTTGAGGCTTCTCACAGCTTCCAGGAAGCCAAAAAGGCTATCTCCCTCCCCTCCTCACCCTTGCCCTCCCCTGCATACAATGTGACTCTCATGCAATATCTTATCCATTCCCCCACTCCTCTCGCCTCAGAGCTCCTCAAACTCCTTCGTGTTTCAAGTCCAACCACGTACACGTAAAAATTATTTCCACCAACCCCAGCCACAGGCCTCCACCACTTCACATCAGATCTGACAGCTTCTTGGGCCTCATCTCTCTCTCTCTCCTTCCATTTTCACCTCAGCCCTCACCACATGCATTGTTCTCCCACTCTTCCCCTCAGCTCTAAAAGACCCTTCTGACATATACACCCCCACCTTTTCACTTTACATCTGACCAATCATCCTGTCACCTGTGTCACTCCCCTTCCCCTTCATCTCATAATAGTCAACTCCTCATCCCATCTCTCTCAATTCTTGCCCTTTTACCTAACATCTGACAGCTCCTCATACCACATATCTCACTTGATTCAGATCTCACTAGTCCTCCTGTCACATGTGGGGACGCAGTCAGGAAGGCTAACCGCGCCTTGTCGTGCATCCACAGATGCATCACGAGCAGGTCCAAGGAGGTGATCCTCCTCCTCTATGCGACATTGGTCAGGCCACAGTTGGAGTATTGCATCCAGTCCTGGGCGCTGCACTTCAGGAGGGATGTGAACAGCATTGAGAGGGTCCAGAGGAGGGCCACTTGCAAGATCAGGGGGCAACAGGGCAGGCCCTACAAGGAAAGGCTAAGGGACCTGAACCTGTTCAGCCTCCACAAGAGAAGGCTGAGAGGGGATCTGGTGGTCGTCTACAAACTGGTCAAGGGAGACCAGCAGGCTATGGGAGAGTCCCTGTTCCCTCGAGCACTACCAGGAGTAACGAGGAATAACGGCCATAAGTTGACAGAGAGTAGATTCAGGCTAGTTGTCAGGAGGCACTACTTCACAGTCAGGGCGACTAGGAGCTGGAACCAACTTCCAGGGGAAGTGGTGCTTGCCCCTACCCTGGGGGTCTTCAAAAGGAGGCTTGATAATCACCTAGCTGGGGTCATTTGACCCCAATATTTTTTCCTGCCCATGGCAGGGGGTCGGACTTGATGATCTGCTCAGGTCCCTTCTGACCCTACCAACTATGAAACTGTGTCTCACTTCCATGACCCTTTGCCTCATGCCTGACAACTCCCTCATGGATGATAAATGCTCATATCCCATATGTCACTTCCCTTGCCCTTTCACTTCACATGTGGCATGAGGGTCTGTCATATATCTTGCTGCCGTACCCCTTCAACTGCAATCTAAATGTCCTTTAGGATGCATATTCACTCCCTGACTCCTTCACCTAAGATCAGGCCTGTGTTCATGCCACATCTTTCTCTCCCCTGTTACTTTACCTCATATCTGACACCCTTAGTGTCACATATCTCATTCCTCTTGCACCTGCACCTCATGTTTGACATCTCCTCATGACACATATCTCAGCCTTCCATTCTTCTCCCCATGTATAATAACTCCTCCTGCTACATAGACAAATCCCCTATCTCTTTACCCAGATCTTTCCAGGCCTTTTAACACGCATCTAGAAATTCCACCCGTTTACTAACAATCTAGCCGCCATACCTCCTATCTTATATCATCCCCTCACCCATTTAGATGCAGACCCAGGTCCCCAGCAGTCCTGGGGCACACTGATCCCATCCACTCATGCCAAATTTATCTTTCAATATGCTGCCCAACTCCCATCTACCATGGAAACTCTCCACAGATCTGCCCTGCAACTTTCTAGCCTAATTGAATCCCTCTCCAGCTCCTCTCATATCCAAACCCTTCCAGATATATCAACCCCCATCCTTTCCTGCCTGATGCATGACAATGCAGCTCTACCCATCCACTCCTCCACCCACATGTAGAAACACTTCAGCTGCTTCAACTCTCCTGCTGTCAGGGAGGTATAACCACTCTTGTTGTTCTCAATCATGTGGAACTGCTTAAGGATGACTCACAGGTCACTAATGGCACCCTATGGGAATTGGCCTCTGAAGATCAGACAAGAACTGGGCAGAGTCTGTGTGTGGCTAAATTTGGGAGCCCTTAGAAATAGGGGAAGTGAAATCTGAACTAGGTGAAAGTTATTTAACAACAGAAGTTGTGAATAATGCAGAATAATTCCATAATGTGCATTTGACAAGAACAAGGAAAAACTAAATTAGCAGTTTACCTCAACCTGGCTGGCAAATCGGATGAACATGGCCTACTAGTTTCTATTGCTGAAAACATACAATGGAGTGATGTAGCTAACATCATGTCCATCCACTTGAAATGCCCCAGACTAAATAATTGAGTATCCATTTACAACTCAATTAACCGGAGCTTGTATTCAACATATTTCCAGAATGAAGACCAAACTCCTGCTTCCAGATCTTTTGTGAGATGCATAAGCATTCTGCTAAGACACTTCACATGGAAAAGAATTGTAAAGGATGTGCCCTTCTATGAACATAAATGATACCAATTAGAAAATAGAAATATAGGGTTTCGGGAAA